GGAAGGGATTGGCCTCCCGGTCAGAAATGCCACGCTGGCGCTGGCACTCGGCCACAGGTTTGGGCCTTGTCTCCAAATGGTGACTCCTTAACTCCGCACGTCTGCAGAGGGGCCCCAAAAAGCAGCGTGCAGTCACATATACACACAGGTGAATACACACGCATTTAACTTTTTGGATGCAGACTTGGGGATTAAAAAGGGTTAAGATTCAGGTATGGATTGGGGGGTGTAGTTGAATGTGGGTTCTGAGCCCCAAGAACAAACAGGACTATTTTCTCAAATGTTCTCACCTGCTCTGGGGTCTGCAAAGCTCAGAGAGACAGGCTTTGTGAGCAGGTAGGCTCCCTCCCTCCCTCATCTGTCATCCTGGGGTGGGGAGGGGGAGTGAAGGTCCTGCGCCAGCCTGGGGGGGAAGCGGGGGGGCAGGAAATCGCCGGCCTGCCCTGCCCCGGGGTGGTTGCAGCTGGGCCCTGCCCTGGGACCTTTGGGATCTGGGGCAGGAGTGGCAGGCACCCACCCTACATTGACCTCGAGTCTGTCTGCCCTTGTAAGTCCATCCATTGGTCTTAATGCTACAGAGACTAGCTCTGCTTTCCTAAGTTTAGATCTGAGCCTTTCAGATTCTTAGAAACAGCAGTTTTGTTTCTCTTTAGTCTTCTCCAGTCTTCTTCCCTTAATACATTCCCAAGGCTTCAGGAAAATCGCCACAATATCTCTATCGTCATAATGCTGACTTATGGAAAGGCAGCTTTTCACATTTCTCCAGAGGTTGGACTTGGTGTCACTGATGTTTAGGGCCATGACATTAAAATATCTCCCCGGCTCGGCCTCCCTGGTCCCCGCACACTGCGCGCATTGTCTGCGGCTCCGAGACGCAGCGCGCACACCCAGCCGGCTTTTCTCCCTGGCCTCGTGCAGCCCGACCTGGGGGTCTGCAGGGAGCAGTGGGCCTGAGTGGAACTCCAGGGCCACAGACAACCCCCCCCCCCCTTCAGCACAGAGTCAGGGATGCACTGGCACCCAGTGTGGGTCACCTGCGCTGAGCTACTGCCTGACTCCCCTCCCCCCCAACCCAAACCGAGCAATTTCTCCTCCCCCCTCCCTTAGCCCCCAACACCCAACCTAGAGCCCTTAGACCATTGCCTCAAACAGGTGGAGAAACCGAGGCCCGGAGGGGGAAGGGCTTGTCTGGGGTCACACAGCCAGGTGTGGCACAGCTGGACTGGCGCCTCGGCCAGGCCCCGGCCTGTAGGAGAGAAGACCAGGAGGATGCCTGGGGCTGCCAGCCCACCTCTGCCAGGGAGCTGGCATCTCCCAGATGCCGTGAAGTGCCCTGGGAGGATCCGCGCCAGGCCCAGCCTCACCCTGAGCATCCTGGGAGGGCTAAGGATCCAGTTCTGGGGCTGCAGAGCCTGAGGTCACCAGACCACACTCAGCGCCCACATCAGAAAGTGCAGGAAATCGGGGTTTGGCTGATAGGGGGAGAGGAGCTCAGGGCAGCCATCCTGCCCCAAACCCTGTTCCCGTGTGGAGCTCACAGCCCCATGCAGAGCAGCACGTTCCCACAGTGCGTGTTCCTCCCGCTTTAGAGGCTCAGGGCTGCCCCGCGATGTGCCCAGAGGCCCTCTCGGAGCGGCCGTAGCCATGTGTCCTGACTGGGCATCCCCTGCTTTAAAAAAACCCTTTTACTGATTTTAGAGAGAGGAAGGGAGAGCGAGAGAGAGAAACATCAATGATGAGAGAGAATCATTGATCGGCTGCCTCCTGCACGCCCCACACTGGAGACCGAACCATGACCTCCTGGTTCATGGGTCAACGCTCAACCCCTGAGCCACGCCGGCCGCCCGGTGTCCCATGCTTGAGCATAAGCCTAGGCTCCCGGTGGGTAAACCCAGGGCAGGCCTGAGCGTGAACGGACAGAGCCGTCCCTCGCTCCAGGACAGAGGGACAGGCGTGGGGGTCAGCCTCCCCTGTGCTGTGTGGCCTGGGGCAGCGCCCGCCCTCTCTGGCCTGTTTCTCTCTCTCTCCAGCCAGGAGCTCCCGGGTTCTCGAGCTCCTGAGCTTCCCCCTCCCTGCCCCTCCCCTTGCCCACACTAGATGAGCAGCTGGTCGCTTTGGCCAGCCTGGCACCAGCTGTCCCTCCCCGGGGCCAAGTCTGCAGAGCCCGCTGTGTTGCGTGTGAGAGAGACGGTTTGGCTCTGCAGGCGGCAGGCCGGGGGGAGCTGTTCCTTGGCCAGGCGTGGAGGCAGGCGGGCAGCTGCTGAGGAGGGCTAGGTAAATTCTCCATGGTTACCGCTGTTTGTAATTCCACAGGACATCCTTTCCCCGCTAATGGCCACTCGGACGCCATTACAGGTCTGCATGCTTCCGGCTCCTGAGCGGGAGCCGGGGAACTCCCCACTGCCGGTCCACCCCGATCGGGAGACGCCCTCCTGCGCCGGGCCCTGGCCCCACATGGTCCCCGGCTGCCTGCAGAGGGACAGTGTCTCCGAGAGTTGCAGTCCATGAGTGGGGCCACCCCTCCCTTCTTTGGGTGCAAGTCATCTGGGCGTAGCCTCAGACTCTCAAGAGTCCTGCCCCCTCGTTGGGGAGGGGTTGACGGGCTCAGAGGGTGAGGGCTTGTCTGAGGACACACAGGCCGCGGTTTACTCCGGATTCCTGACTTTGTGTCCCGTGCACCCAGGGATGGGGCTCAGATGGTCTCGCCGAGGTTTGGGCTCATGGGATGTCGCAGCCCGGGGTGGGGGTGGGGAGGTAAGGGGGGGACCAGCCTCGGTCGCAGGGGCAGTTGTGGCAGTGGTGTGGCTCTCGGTGATCGGCCCCTGGGGAACGGAGACTGGCGAGGGTTAGGCCGAGCGGAGCAGCACCTGTCATCGTTGGGACCACCCCCGACTGCAGGGATGGGAAGGGGGTCGTGGACCACAGCAGTGCGATGGCTGCGAAGCCCGGTGGCCTGCTGGTTACATTTTACGACCAGTCTGTCGAGGCCAGGGGTCGGCCAAGGTCAAGCCAGAGGACAGGAGCCGGGTTCTCTGTCCTGCGGAGATGATAGGCCACTGCTGATGGCATGGGTCCCGGGCAGGGGGGCTGTGGGACGGCTGGTCACGGCTACGGGATTCCTGATGGCTCTCTCCTCCACCCTAGCTGGGAGCGTCCACCCGCCTTCCACCAGCATGGCGACGTCCTCCCAGTACCGCCAGCTGCTGAGCGACTACGGACCGCCATCTCTAGGCTACACGCAGGTATGGCGGCGGGGGTGATGCGCAGCGGGAGGGGCCGGGGACTCAGTGGGAGAGAGACGAAGGAGTAGGAGTGATGGATGGAAGTGATCTGAGCTTCCTCAGGTCACAGACCCGGCTGGACTCACGTTCGGGACCTGAGGCATCTCAGAGGGTGGCAGGGTGTTTCATGGGGACACTGAGCTGGGATGGGCGATGGGGAGCTCAAGGAAAGATGGAAGCCCTTGGGGGCTGCGGTTCTGTTGGGGGGGCCACCACCCCCTGTATGTCCCTGGTGGGTCTTGTGCCTGATGCCTGGGGAAGAACTGACCTGACGCTGGGTCTGACCCGGAACAGAGGGGTGGGGCCCGGTTCCCACTCCCCCCGCCCCCCAAGGTCGCAGCCCCAGCAAAGAGGAGTCCAGATGCATGTGGTGAGGAGCTGGTGGCCCCTGAGTGAGGCTACTTGGGTTTACACCTGGTTCTGCCACTTCTTTTTAAAAACATATATAATTTTATTGATTTCAGAGAGGAAGGGAGCAAGAGAGAGAGAAACATCAATGATGAGACAGAATCATTGATTGGCTGCCTCCTGCACTCCGCACACTGGGGATCAAGCCCGCAACCCAGGCATGTGCCCTGACCTGGAATTGAACCGGGACCTGGTTCATGGGTCGATGCTCAACCACTGAGCCATGCCGGCCGGGCTCTGGTTCTGCCACTTCTGAAAACAGGACCCCACCTGGCAATCTCGCCGAGACCTAGTTTTCTCACTGTCCAGTCGGGATTCCCGGGGTGGTCGGAGCATAGTGGAGGCAGCCACTTTGGCCACTTCAGCCTCCGTGGCACCTGCCAGGGAGACGCGGCCTGTGGAGGGACCCGCGGTTGCCAGCTGCAAGGTTCTCTCTCGTGGGCGGAACTCACCACGTTCTGAGGTCGCCACGGACACTGTC